GGTGGGGCTCCCTGCACTCCCAGGCTTGGGGGCTACATCCCTCCAGCTGAGGTTGAGTAGGAAGCTGTTCTGAAACCTCTACTTTGGGGAGAGCCTGTTTGTTAGCTGGAAAAATGCAACCAAACAAAAAAATTGGTTTACTTTTCTTAAGAGTGAGTCGCTCTCCGAATCACTTTCTCGGAGCAGGGTTTTTCTTTAACATGGCCATGATTTGAGTGTAAGAAGAGGATGGTGGAGAAGAGGTTTTAGAGGGGAATGCTTTGCAGGTTGAGATTTCTGCTTTACAGCAAGTACTGGTAGGGACTGAAGCAGGGGGCTGAAGGGCTACGTGCACAGATGGTGATAGACCGTACTGTACCCGTCTGGGAAAATGATTAATCAATACCACAGGGATTTATTCTAGTATTTAGTTCTTTTAATTTAGCCTTCTGTTCTCCGCTCAGGAGTTCTGTGAGAGAATGTTCTAAATGTGATGCTGATTCAGGATCCTGGTGATTTTAAGAGAAATCAAAACAGTTCCCTCACTGTTTTTTAACTGGATCTTGTTGCAAATGGCAGTGAAGAGAACAAATGTTCTATCTACGTTTCTAATTGCGAGTTGCGTAAATATGGCTCACATTTTAATGAAGGGAACTTAGGGAAGTAATACTGAGGAACAGTGCATGACAAGAGAGCGAGAGGCTTAATGCATGTTTTTCGTAGTCCTATTGCACTTGGTAGCTGTAGGCAACCTTCATTCTGATACTTCCCAAGTTTTGAGAGCTTGCTTTTCTGGCCTCAATGATCTCTTAAAACAAAGCTTGTAACTTGATAAATCTTATTTTCAGCAGAATTAAAAAGAAAGGGAAAAAACCCTAAAAATATCCTGAAGTGGCATTATTTATGCCAATGTAATTCATTAAGAGAGTTGGAAATTTTCAGTTCTGGATGTAGATCTTGGCTTCACGAATTACTGGGAAATGTTGTTGTCCTTTATTGGAGGATCAGTGCTGAAGGAAGAAAACACCTTCTAGTAAGCACAAGGCTCCTTCCTTCTTTCCCTTCATCTCTTCTTTAACGTTAGTCACCTTTCCGCTGCTTGGCTTTTCCTCCTTGTCCGGTTCCATTCCCTCATCCAGGTGTAGATTTTACTCCTCTTGTTTCTTTTAATACTTACTGCCTTGACATTTTCTGCCTGAGCTAGAACCTCTCCCCCCTCTATGCACAGTTCTAATGCTTTGCATAGGCAGCCCCTTCCCCCTGGTGCTCCCTATCCGAAATGAGCTGTCTTTTCTCCTCGTCACGTCATGAAAGCTTCCTATTCAGGATGTGCTTCCTTTGCCTCCCCAGCTGTTTCAACCAGTTCTCCCCTCCATGGCAGTTCATTGCATCTTTGTTTTCCTCTGCCTTATTTAGTGCTTCAGTCTGTCTTCCCTGTGTCCTGCTTGGTTGTTTCCCACCAACCTACTGATGGCAATCTCCTCTCCCAATGTACACGTGCTTTACCTGCCCTGTTCTTCACTTTGTCCTGCTTCTCTCCTCCCACTTCTCCTTCATGCCCAACCACTTTCCTGGCTCTCTTCATTCCCCTTTTCCCCTGCAGTCAGTCCGTCACCTTCTCAGTATTTGAATTTCTTCTTCCACCATGGGTACTGGTGGTGAAGTAACAGGTTGCTGGAAAGGTAGACCTGAAATGTCTGGAGGGGTTCTACCTCGGTCCAGTGGGTTCTGTCCTTACAGGACAATTCCCTTGAGCTGAGAAACACTCACTTGCTCCATCAGAGTGGCTCATGATTGGACCTGATGTGTGTGGGATGTTGGAGCACATCTCTGAAATCCTCAGAGATTTTAGTCAAATTCTTTAAATATTTAATCTGTATTTGTAAATATGTACATTGGAAGCAGGGATAACTTGTCACCTGTCACTGAGGGGAAAGACAGGTTCTTTTAGGGATCCTTGGCAGTATGATGGCAGCCCTAAATCCTAGTTATGATTAAAACTTTATTTTCTTAACATGACATTATGATTAACATAGCGCAGAATTTATGATTAGAATGGCACAGGATTTCTACAAGCAGCATCAGTATAGTGGAATTTGTAAGTAACATAATACAGAATTTATAATACAACTTACATTATAATTTCTAATCACCTACACTCTCTGCAGATTGGGCCAAATCTTAGTATGTGGTTTGCCACATCAATCTAACAAACATAATCTAGACTTTAAATTCATATAAAGGAATCCGAGCCACTCTCTCAATGCTGGAGGGCAGCAGTGGATGGTGGAGGCATACCTGGCCATGGTGGGCCTCAAGTCTCATGTCCAGCAGCAGCTCTGGTCCAAGTTGCCCCCTTAGGACTTAAAACTGCTTGATCTTATAGGCAGTGCTCTGGGTGCTGTTAAGCTTCATTGTTCTGTGACAGAGCCATCACCACCACCCAGGGGACTGGGAGCCTGGGACCTTCAAGGCCAGCAAGGAGGGGAGTAATCACACTGGCATCCAGGAACCTTGAGGGAAGGGAAGAAGAGATCTATTTGGTTTGTCCGCTTGGTTCATCGGACCTTCAGAGCTAGATAACAAGGGAAAAGAGAACGAATATGTGACCCACTCATGGTTTATACGTTGCTCTATTACTCAGTGCCTCCTCCTCACCCAGGGAAGGGGTTTGGGAAAGAGAAAGGAGATTCGTAGGTTGAAATAGAAATATATTTAATAAAATAATGATCATAAAACCTAATAATAATAGTTATAATATAAAATAAACAGAGTTCTACTCAGACAATATTGTGGGGGAGCAGGCCTCGGGAGTAGGATGGTAAACAAGATGACATCTTGAGATGTCAGCCACAGAAGAGGGAGCAGGAGGGAGAGAAAGAGAAGGAGGAGGACCATCGCCAGCAAACTCCTCAATTTATAGTGAATGTGATGTTGATGGTATGAATAGTTTTAATTGGTCAGCTTTGGGTTGACTCCCCTAGGTTTCTGCTCCTCCCAGCCTCTGCATCTGTTTATCTCTAGACTGCTGAAGGCCTTGACCACTACGGCAACCTGCATACCAGCATTATCTGAAGCCTATAACAAAGTTTTATCACTTTGTTCCCATGAAATAGTGGTGTAGTCCTTACAAAGTTTGCAGTTTTCGTCAACAGAAAACTGACTCTTAAAATTCTGTGCCACTAAACCAGGACACCCACTGTGTCACAGAGAATGGCTGCTGACCTCATGAAGTGGCGTTAGCTATGCTAACCATAGTACCAGGGGTCGGGAGCAGGGGGTACCAGTCACAGAATGACCCTATGAATGGTTGTTTTCAATATGAACTATTACTTTGGTAGAGACTTCAGCAACAGAGGGCTGAGTTTTATAATGGAAAATCATTGACAATATTGATAATAATAGGTGCTCCCAGGCTCCCTCTTAATACCAGTGACAAATATTAATAATAATTAAAGAAGTTTGTGATTGAAAGCCACAGTGTTAACTTCTGGATGGAAAGAATTTACTTGGATTAATAAAAAGATGCATTAACAAGTAATAGAGTGCATGAAACAAAGTCACTTAAGGCTGAGTATCAAAATTCTAAAGCAATAAGCTATAGGATGGTTTTTTCCAGTTCGCTTTTCTAAAATGTTTACCTGTTGACCAGATGAAATGCACAAGTATCCTTTAAGAAGCGCTTTCATATTAGTGTGAGGAAGATTGTGAAGCAAAATACTCCTTTAATTTGTCTCTTCTGAGAGAGCGTATCTTTGAGTTCTAGAAATGCAGTATATAGTGTAACCTCAGGTGATGATCACAAAGCTACTTGAAATAGACTGCTACTTTTCACTGTCATCCTTAAGTAGGACATAGGGCCTCTAAATACCCATGGAAATTTAAGCGCAAGGAGCAAAAACTAGGCTCTGATCCAAAGCCAGCTGAAGCTGATTAAGAGTCTGCTTTTGGCTACTGAGGCCTCTTGCTTAGGCCACTAGCAAGCTAAAATTGAGTCTCAGGTGTTCAGACAGACTTTTTGGGTTAGTTTAGTCTTTGGGTTTTGGGGTTTGTTTTTTTTAGTTTGTCTTGGAGGTGCTGTCCGTGATTATAGGAGATGTTCCAGTGTGTATACCAACTGAAGTGTGATATATTTTCACTGTTAAGTTCTAGAAGTAGTAAGTGGATGATACTCAACACCCTAACTACACTTAATCATCAGATTATGTATTGTTCTGTTTTGGACCTGACACTGGACACCTTAAATCACCGATATACCTAGAGGTGATGTACTTGTTCCTGTAAAATATGCCTACACCTAGAATAAACTAGAGGCATGGAAAATATCTTTACTTTGCATAGTTTGCAGTTGTTTGGCTATTTTCAGTGTGCTTCTCCATTCTTCCAGTCCTGTTAGATATTTAAACTTTTCAGATACTGAGAAGAGAAGAGTACTCTTTTCAAATAGGAAGTGTTTGTAGATTTGAAAATACAGGTTAAAATGAGAGGTGATATTCAGCCTGACTCAGGTGATTGTTTTATTTTATTTGTTTGCATGGTTATTGTCTATTTTGGAAATAGAAAATAAAATGTTTGCATTTTATCATACTGGTTTTTTGAGTGCAGTCCAAGTTAGCTCTTTCATTTTAACTCTACTTGGTGTGTTTCCCCACTTGATTTTGTAACTTGGCCTGAACTTTTTGTAGATGCACGTAGTTATTGACTATCTGTGTGCTGTCTTGCCTTTTTCAAGACAAAAAGAGCTGGAAAGTCACTTTTAGAGTTGGGTCAAGTTTTCATTCCAAACATTAATAGAAATGTGGAGCTTGATCTCTCTTCTAGCTGATCTAGAATGCTTATATCCTAACCACCAATAAAGTTTTCCACAGGACAAAAAAAGACTTTGAGAAACTCTCACCTAGCATTCTGTAAAGCATCATGAAAAGTGGGTTTTAGGACTTGAGGGTCAAAATGTTTACATAAGTTTTGGGGGGATAAATTGGAACTTGTTTTAGTTAATTTCTTTTACATTCGACCTCTAGGTTCCAGCAAGATGTGGGGTGACGGTCCGAGACAGCCTAAAGAAAGCTCTGATGATGAGAGGTCTTATTCCAGAATGCTGTGCTGTTTACAGGATACAAGATGGGTATGGTTTGTTTGTGGTGGTTTTTACTCTTAGAACTCTCGTCTTGGAGTTACCCAGTACGGCCAGTTCTATCCAACATTGTGCAGGTTGTTTTCAGAGTTCGGAATTATATGATACTTCGCACTGAGGCAATTTGTGCCTTGAAGCCGTGTCTAAAAATAATGGCAGACCCCTGGAAAAAGATTTAATCACTTCAAGAACAGGCATAATATAGAGTAATATGAACTTACAGACTGCAGGCACAACAGTCATAAGGCAAACTCATGCTAACCAAACAAATATTAAATTATTTTTGTCAACTTTTTTTGTTTTATTTAAATTAGTTATAGTGCTTAACTGTAAGCTCAGTTAAGAATGCACTATAACCAATTTAAATAAAACAAAAAAAACCTCCTAATTGACTTCCTGTAGGGGAAAGAAAAAAAAGAATTTCCAGTCTTAGAAAGTTTGCAGATAATTTTACTGTACAAAATTAGCCATCTCTTTGGAGCTTTTATGGAACAGGTACTTTCACAAGCATTTTATTTGATGAGAAAGATATCAGTCACCTTGGAACCAAGGGATCAGCCACTACTGGAGTGAATTGCAAAAGTTTTGTTCATGCAGTTCGTCCAGGGAAGGTGTGCATTCCTTGGTGTGTGCTAAGCTTAACATCCTGCCTTTAAAGTTTCCTGCAGTTAGAGACTGGGTGGCAAACCCCAAGAGTGCAGCTTTCTGCCTGATCTCACACCGTCAGCAGGCGACCCG